ATTTTCTTAGTTAAATTACTTTTTCCATTAAATAATAATGTAAAAAACTTCTTGGTAGCATTTTCATCACCACTCTTCTTACATTCAAAAACAATAGAAATATTAATCATTCGTTTTATTATCTTTTCAAGTGCCTCTTCTACTGTAGCATCTTTTATTTCATTTTCAATACCAATAACTTCCATCTTTGCTGCATCATCTTTAATTTTGAAATTAACTTTTTGACTTGAAATAAAGAATTTTTTTGTCATTGGTGGAATATGATTTAAAGTTGTTTCTATTAACTGGGACTCTTGTGAGTCAACACTAAATTCTTCCATACATTTACAACACATCATCGTTTTAGTCTTTATCTTACATACTAATTCATCTCCACCACATTTTGGACATTTATCTATCTTTACTGGTTGTCCTCTAACTGTCCCAGCAACAGTTTCAAACACCCCTAAACACGACTTTAATCCCATTTCAAGAATACTTTTCTTTAATTGTGTCCGATTCATTTGACTTGACAAATCGGCTTTGTTTAACACAAAACATACTGGGACATCATTTAATAATGTTTTACAAATTTCTTCTTCAAATGGCTGAAGTCTTCCTACAGCTGAGTTGATTACAAACCATACAAGGTGAATTCGTTTACGCTCATTTTGTAATGTTAAAAAGTTCTTTAAACTCCCCATAAATTTCTTTGTCTCTATTCCTGAAAACCCTTTCGAATCATAAATACTTATCTTTTCTGATGCATATCTATTAAATCCTTCTGTTGTTTCTGTTGTTTCTCCTTCTAATGCAACTACCTCTTTAAATAATGTGTTAATAATTGATGATTTTCCAACACCAGTTTGACCAATCAATAATACAACTGGTTTTTGATTCAATTGAACAAGTTCAGAGTATGCCTGGTACACTTTCTTGACATATTTTTGAATATCATCAGAAAGAGGAGATACAATCTCATCAAATGCTACGTCTGTAGAGTCTTGTTCAGTTGACATGATATGTTTTTTATGTTTTCTTTTTTAGTTTTTCAAAAAATAAAAAACAAAATATAAAAATAAATAAATTGAAAAATAATGATTGACATAAACTGACAAGATATTTGGTATTAAGGTTGTTCAATAAAATTATAAACAAATACAATTACCATAATTAAATTTGAATGATGTAAAAAATAAATTAAAGATATTATCAAATAAATCAAATAGTAATGAAATGTGTTAATAAATTTTTAACTTTACATTCAATTCATCAGGTGATATTATCAATAATATCAAAGATATGTTTAAATGAATGACAAATAAAACAATGAATAACAATAACAGTCTAAATGAAAAAACTAACAAATGAACTAGAAAGTATATGACTATACTAACAATATTGAATTATCATTATGTAAAAAATATGATAAAATTATTTTTTTTTTCAAAACAAATAAACAAAATAAACAGAACCTATTAACTTATTAGAATATTAATTGTTAAATATTGCAAAGAACTTAAAACAAACAACTCTTGTTAAACAAAGAATAAATATGATTGATATTCCAACAAATAAATTTTCATATATTTATTAATCATTGTATGTTGCTGTATTATTAAATATAGACAAAATTCATAATTTATATTTGATAAACAATAAATAAAATGTAATTATTGGTGTCATTATTTTTCTTTATAACAATGAGAGTAAACAATAATCAATTTAAATTTTATTTATGAATGAAAAAATAATAAGTATAAGTAATTAACAAAATAACAACTCCATTTCTTTTTATTAAAAAAGATGTTGAATAAATGATAAATATAATAATCATTTTTATAGAAATTTATCATAACCACTTCATAAACATATGTATGTTTTAGAATAAAAATAAAATTCTCATTCTTTTAATACTTTAATATTTATTTTTAATTTTGAATGTCATATTTGAATTATTTTTTATTAAAATTTAATATCTGCAATAAGTCCTGCAATTCTTTTTATCATAAAAACATCAGTTATAACCAATTATTAACAGAAATTTATTGTGTTTGTTATTAATTTTATATTATTGTATTGAATAAATTAATATTTCATTGAACATTCTCTTTATTTTCAAATAGATGAAATAGTTTCAATAAAAAATGGTAATATTGTAATAATTGACTAATTAAAATAAAAGGAAACTTATAACTCAATTATTTTAATACTAAAATTAACTCAATTAACTAGCAAGTTATTCTAAATAGATGGCTGTGGTTAATAAATAATTTCCCATAATAATAAGTAAAATTAAAGAATTTGAGTTATAGAATTTGGTAATAAAAAATATTTATTATATGAAGTAAATGAATACATTGAATTTAAAACTATGAAAAGCACATTATTTATGTTCATCGAGACAAATTATTAATAATACTTTGAATAAAAAACTACCTGAAACAAGTTAAACAAAAAATGAACTGTTATTTAAAAAAGTATTTATTTTGATGAATTAATAAAAATATTACAACAATATGAGGTAAAAAAGAGATTATAAATACAATTAAAACAGAGAATAACACTTAATAAATATGAATCCAAAAAATTAGTACAAAAGATGTAAATCATTAAAACAATGTAAATATAAAATGATATTGATAAATACATTTATTTGTCTATGAAATTATTTGTTAGATTTCTTGTGTGCTATTGAAATATCCATTTAAACAATAAGAAAATTAATAAATGATACTTTAATTTGATATTACAATAACATTCTCTTTATTTGTCTTTATTTGTTCTATTCTTTATTTTAAAAGTGTATGTAAAATATTTCTATGACTATTTTCTGTAATCAATTGAAGATTTTAAAATGGGTAATGAGAATATAAATTCATTATATGGTTTTATGTTTGTCTGAATGAAAAAATTTTTAAATGACTTAAAATAATTAAACAAAAGTATTTTCTTTTGAATATCTTTATTCGTATTTCTAATGATGGGTTATACAACAAAACAAGAAGGTACTTAAAAAGTTAGTAATTCATGTATTTGCTATGAACCATAATACCAATTATTCTCATATCAGTCATATTAGTACTTTCGGTGGAAAAAAAGAATTATGTAAATCAATTCTAACTTGAAGTGTGCTTTAGTTTTGATAAACCTTATAAATACAACATGAGTTGTTGATTATTATTTCATTGTTTTCTTTGACTTATTTTTAGATCAACCTGTGTCTTAACAACGTCATAAAACTTTACTTTCATGATGTTTAGTTTTCTTAAAAACAACTTGCTTTCAGTTAAGACGTAATACTACTTTAAAGTATCAATTTAGCAACATATTAATAAAAAAGTCCATCTTTTATTTATTCTTTTTGCTTAAGAGTAAGTGAATTACAAAAACTTTCTAAATAAAGAAAAATAGATATTGAATTGCTTTACTAGTGTGTTGTCTATTCACTAACTTAATAACCTGTTCACCAATTTTTTTTTCAAAAACAAAATACCTTCTTTTTAAACCTGCTTTATGATAGTAATTTCTTAGTTGAAAGTTATTATTGTTGAAAATATATAAGAAAAAATAGACTAACAACTTATCATTTTACTTAAAACTATTGGTATGTAACATGACTTAGCTCCATTGTTTTACTGAATTCAAATTTTAATCAATGTTATTAAAAGTATTTAAACTGTTTATTATAGGAGAGAAATTCTAATTATTTTCTCTGAATGGATAGCTGAAAAAAAGATAATAACCTCTTTATTTTTAAAACCCAATGTCTCACTTGAGATATAGTTAATTAATTTAAAACCTTATAAGTAATTAGGTGGTGTTAAAATTAAATGAAGATTTATATATTAGTTAAAGTGAAATAATCAAAATTTAATATAAAGTGTTTTATTAATCCAGCAAATTCTTTATCTGAATAGGAAAATGAAAATATAAATATATAAAATTTGTAATTTTCTTAGCAATGATGATGAATCTGCAACTGACTAAAAAAGATTCAAAGAACTAAGAATATGTTTTATCGTATTATATAATATATAATTATAAGTTATACAAAAACATAAATACAAAGGCACCTTAATAAAAATTACTTGAAATTAAAAGAAAAGCAAACTGTCGATACTGTCTTTCTTTGGTTGCTGTTGGGTTTGAACATTAGCTACTGGTTGAGCTGGTTTTTGTACTGAAGGAGGTGCTGAAAATTGTGCTCGTTTACCAGATGATGGTGGTGGTAATAAAGTGCCTTTTGAAGGTTTCTTTCCAGTTGGTGCAGTACTTTTAATATTCAAAGTAATAGTTTGTCCTGGTTTAAGTTCAAAAGCAGACATGTCAATTGGTTCTTCCTTCTTGTTAGCTCTTTCTTTTCGTTCAGTTAATCTTCTTTCAAAATCTTGGAGAGCAACAGTGAAATCAAATGCCTCAGAACGTTCTTGGAAACCCATACCCAAAAATGCCTTTCTTCCTTGAGCTTCATCAACAATTCTTACAACAAAATATCTTGATGAATCAATGACTGGCTCAACAGCTCCAGGTCCAACAGGGCATTGAGCAAATGTAGCATCAGTATTACTATCTACAAATTTAACAACACATTGGTCTCCTCTTGCAACAACAACACATTTTCCTTGCCATAAAAAGTCTTCTGGTGTCCATTCACCTGCCCTTAAATATAAGTTCTCATTTTGTCTTTTCATTTCAAAAATAAGAATGAGAAAATTCTATTTCTCTTTTAAATATTAAATAATTTTTATTCATAAAAACAAACTTATATTTCATATTTGGTGATGTCATTGGCTTAATTCTATACATCATGCATTGATTAATAACCAACAAGATTTGTTCTATCTGTTCAGTCATTGTGGCTTAAAAACTTTTATTTTTTTTCAGTTCTTTCAATTTAATTTTTCTTTTGGAATTTTTGACAATCATTTGATTTTCTATAACAAAATTTTTTATTGTGTAATATAAAACATAACAAACAAATAACAGTTTTTGAATTGAAAAAAAGTCAAAGACATCAATCAAAAAGAAAGGGTTTTTCCTTGAAGGAAATGTTTTCGAACAGCAGAATGACGAGTAGTATACTGAGAATGTATTTTTGAATAATAAATAAACTCGTCAAAATATTGTGGGTCATTCATTTGAACATATCCACCTTCACACAAAGATGGAAATTCTTCAAATATTCTTTCATACCCACCTTCAACAAGAAAAATATCAATTAATTTATTTCTAATGGTATGTCTTAATTCTTTGAGAAGATTTGGAGCTCTAGTTTTAGAGAATTCACAATAAGCAATCAAAATAATTTTTTTTGAATAGTTAATTTCAAATAATTTATTTAATTCTTTATATAATGCAGTTTCAGTAGATATATTCAAAGAGTATCTTACATGACCTCCATTATATTCATATGGATATCTTACATCAATAATAAATAATTCATCTAATTTGGATGAATTAATCAATTGACTCAAATCATAAGGAGAAAGGGTTTTGAATCCAATTCTTGAAAATGATTTTATTGGAACTTTTCCAGTACTACTTGGATGTGAATTTCTCACTGGTGTAATTGGTCTTATTATTTCATCTGTAAGAATAGCTGACTGACTTCTCACAAGTGATATTCTTTGAGGATTTGAATAATTAAAACCAAAACAATTAATGGAATTATCGGATTTTTGTGGAGTGACTTGAGTTGTTTGAGGTTCAGAAGAAGTTAGTTCAGCTGACCTGAATAAAGGACTAGGCTCAGAAGTCCTTGTTTCAAATCCTCTAATCATCCTATTAAAATACAAAGTTCCTTACCTTTTTAAATTAAAAAAAAAGTGATTCATCTTCTAAAAACAGTGTTGATAATACAAATAAAGGTAAAGAAGTTGATAATGATTGGTTTGGAATTTAAAACCTTTATTTTATTGGATGAATTAAGTGTTTTTGTTACATTGTTTTTTAATTAAATTTTTAAAAATTTATCTGTCAGTGTTGTTTGGTTATATTTTTCTTCATTTATAATTTCCCTTCTTGATTTGTTAAAATATTACACTACAAACAAAAATTCTGTCAATACTCACGCTATCATTAGATCTTAAAATCTAATGGATAGCTTTCAATTTCAATCTATCTATTCTTTATTTATTTCTTTATTCTCTTCTAATTTGTGATTTAAGTATAATTATTTATAATCCTATGTTTCATACTTTAAAATAAACAAAAAGTGTTATGAAAATAAAATTATTACTTTAATTTCATTGTCACAAAAGATATTGTTGTGGAAGTATTTATCATATTTTATTATCTTAGTAAAACCTTTTTATCATTTATTTTAAAATAATAGAAAAAAAGAATAATATAATGAAGATGCATTACAGGAGACACCAC